TTTTACATCCAGGTTAATTTTGTGGAAACTAAAAAAGAGAGGGGGTCAAAGTGACACTTTAAAAATCTTAAGATAATTTCTAGTCACTCATGCAAGATGGAAGGTTAAAAGGAAATACAAATTTAAGAAAGTACTTTCTTCCACTTTTCATTTTTCTTTCGCCCGGTTTAACCGCTTACATAGTTTTATTATACAATGACATTTAAAAGCCCAATAACGATACGTATACCTCTCTGACTATATTTTTACAATTGAAGTTTCATTCCCAGATTGCCATGATGGACTTAATCGTGATTAAGTCATAGACATTCTATTGTGATTCGGAAGCCGAGGAGAGACATACGGATGCCATCGAGATATATAGACATAGTCGTTGCGTATGTATTTTCGGTGGAGAGTATCAATGAGATGATTCATACTACATTCAGATAGGCCGAGCAGAGTTCGGAGGCAATTTTGTGACAGGTGGCTATGCAGGAGGAGATGAAGTCTCTTTATATAAACGACACATGGGAGCTTGTCGAGCTTCCAAAGGGACGGAAAGCTATTAGTTGCAAGTGAGTGTATACAAAGAATGAGGGCATTGAAGGCACTCCCGTGAGGTTCAAGGCTAGGTTGGTTGCGAAAAGATATGCACATGAGGAAGGTATTGACTACAATGAGGTCTTCTCTTCGGTGGTGAAGTATTCTTCGATTCGGATTTTGCTAGCTTTGGTGACACAATATGGTTTAGAATTAGAGCAATTGGATGTGAAAACAATATTTCTTCATGGTGATCTTGATGAGGAAATCTATATGACTCAGCCATTGGGATTTCGAGCCGTGGGAAAGGAGAAATTGGTTTGTAGGTTGAAGAAATCGCTATACGGGCTGAAGCAATCTCCGAGACAGTGGTATAGGTGATTTGATGGGTTTTCATGATCGGCCATTCGTACATTAGGAGCCAATTTGATCCTTGCGTGTACTATCTCAAGTTGAATGGAGTTGCATATATTTACTTATTGCTTTATGTCGATGACATGCTGGTTGCTTCTACTTCCAGATCCAAGATAGACAGATTGAAGATTCAGCTTTCGAGTGAGTTTGATATGAAGGATTTGGGTGAAGCGAAGCACATTTTGGGAATAGAGATCAGCAGAGATAAAGATAATGACAGAATTAGTTTGACACAAGTGGCTTATTTGAAGAAGGTTCTACAGCGGTTCAATATGAGCATGGAGACGAAGCTTAGTTTGACACAAGTGGCTTATTTGAAGAAGGTTCTACAGCGGTTCAATATGAGCATGGAGACGAAGCCAGTTAGTGTACCATTGGGAGCTCATTTGAAGCTTTTAGCTGACCTTTCACCGAAGACAGTTGAAGATAGAGAGTTGATGTCGAAAACTCCATATGCGAGCGCAGTTGGAAGTTTAATGTACGCCATTGTTTGTACGAGGTCGGATTTATCACATGCAGTGAGCATGGTTTCGAGATACATGCACGATCCGAGTCCGGGTCATTGGGATGCCGTGAGATGGATTTTGAGGTACATTCGAGGTACTCTCAATGTTGGTTTGGTTTTTGAGCAGGACACCAGCGGTGGGCAACTATGTATTGGATACGGAGATTCAAACTACGCTGGAGATTTGGATACTGTTGACAACGGGGTATGTGTTCACTTTGATCAGTACGCCGGTGTGTTGGAGATGCACATTGCAGTCTACGGTGGCTTTGTTGATGACGGAGGTAGAGTATATGGCGATTACAGAGGCTGTTAAGGAGGCGATTTGGCTTTGAGCACTTTTGGAGCAGCGTTCCGTCACCATTTATTATGATACCATGAGTGTTAGTTTGACACAAGTGGCTTATTTGAAGAAGGTTCTACAGCGGTTCAATATGAGCATGGAGACGAAGCCGAGGTAGAGTATATGGCGATTACAGAGGCTGTTAAGGAGGCGATTTGGCTTTGAGCACTTTTGGAGCAGTGTTCCGTCACCATTTATTATGATACCATGAGTGTTATTTATTTGGCAAAAAATCAGGTCTTTCATGCGAGGACGAAGCATATCGACGTTCGTTATCACCTCGTTCGAGATGTTCTTAAAGATGGGGATGTAGATCTCATGAAGGTCCACACAAAAGACAATCCAGCAGATATGCTCACAAAGCTGGTTCCGAGCAACAAGTTTGATCATTGTAGAAACAAGTTGCAAATTCGTGATTGTTGAGGCTGTTCGCGGCCATTTGGATGAACTACAGACGGCTTGATCCCTTGGGAGAGGGGGTACATAGACAACCACAATGGTGCAGTCGGATTTGATGAGACGACGCAGTGGTGCTCATGTTTGGTGTCGGCTCAATTTTGGAAAAATTTCGCCGAGGTGGAGAATTGTAGAAACAACGAAAAAATCAGTAAAACTGAAGCTGAGAAGCAGCTACAGGAATCCTCAGGTCGGTCGACCGAATGAGCAAGGCCGGTCGACCGACGCAATCACTAGGGAACTAGGTTTTACAGGAGTTTGAGTCGGTCGACCGATGGGGTGTGACCGGCCGACCGATCCCGTGCACATTACAGGGTGAGAAATTGAGCTTATGTCCGGTCAACTGATTGAATATGTGTGGTCGACCGATAGCGGTTATGGGCCTGATTCGTTTTTCCTGGGCGGTTTTGGATTGGGTGTTTGTATAAATTACAAACACGATTTCTAAGGTTTCTTAACCAGAGAATTAGCATTGTTTTGAACACTTTGAGAGGGAGATATTGTGAGGTAGTTGAGAGCTTTGGTTACGGTTATATTTGAGTGATTTTGTGAGTTGTAACTCGTTTATTTCTCCTCCATATAGTGAAATCTCTCCATCCTCTCCCCGTGGACGTAGGCAATTGTCGAACCACGTAAATCTTTGTGTTTGGTTTGATTTGTGTCGTATTTTTGGTGAATTGCATTCGTGTTTGGTTTAGTTCTCTTCTCTCATCGCTCGCGGACTCGTTTGGTTGTCGAACACGCTTCCGGACGACACACAACACTTTTCTTATGATAAGGAGTCAGAAAATCAACAATAAAAACATTGAATGTTCCTTGATCAGCATAAGCGACTAAAATCAAATGTACAAGTCTATGGTATTTCCGTAAGGGAAAAAACATCAACATGGAGAGTTACTAGCAAGATTTTCTAAAATTGATATTCTGTAATATTTCAATTCTATTCATGTACTCCAGTAACTTCAGTTGCACCAGAACTTGTCTGTGACACGTCTGTGACGAATTGAGTATATGGTCCGTGTGTTAAGAAACCGACAAGTCAAAGGATTGAAAGGAACATTCTAAACAAAACTATTTCGTGGTAGGGTTTCATCAACAAGTAAAGGGCACAATCATCAAAGTATCTTTAAAAAAAAAGATAAAAATTAATAAACTTCCAGTTAGTGCTCTCTTGTAACAGTGGTAGACCCAAAGTTGATTTCTGTCGACTCCTTGTAAGCCGAATCCAGCGTAAATTAATTCAACCCACTTGCAACTAATAAGATGATTTATATGCAAGTTTTAGGCTAAAGGAGAATGAACCTACAACTGCTACTACGTACTATTATGCTACATATATAACCTATAGTTTTCCTCCACAGTGTTTGTGTATCCTTCAATCCCTTTCGTCATCATCAATCAAAAGGAGGCAAATTAAGCCCACTTGCCACCTTTTACCGTTTTCAAAACTTGGAATATCTTTCTGTCCCTCGTTCAACAAGTGACAGGAGGAGGCGGCGCATGTCAATAAAGCTGATGAGTCTGTGGCACTACCAGCCAGTCCAACTTTGTTGAAGGCCACGTGTTTTATTTGGCTTCTTTCAACACTTCAAATTCTTTTGAGGGATCGACTAGGCGTGGGAGGAAATAATTAATTGGTGGAGGTGCTTGTTTTATTTTATGTAACTAGTATGGTGCACGTGCGTTGCACGTGTAAATACTTTCATGTTTATATGTAGCCCTATAGTTT